ATATATATATATATATATATATATATATATATATTTTATATCATCTCTATTTCTGCCTTCATATCTCTCTTTATATATTTATCTGTCTCTAACTTTGATGGTGCATTGTTAAGTTTTCACACATTATTGTGTAGCATCACTGTGGCAGTATCTCCTACCAAGTATTCTGATGTTGTGCAATTACTACATCTGCATCTTAAGGTGTGGGTGTTATCACTATGTCTGCATCTTATGGTGTGGTGTTATCACTATGTCTGCATCTTAAGGTGTGGTGTTATCACTATGTCTGCATCTTAAGGTACAATTGTTACATCTGCATCTTAAGGTGTGGTGTTATCACTATGTCTGCATCTTAAGGTGCAATTACTGCAATGTCTGCATCTTAAGGTGCAATTACTGCAATGTCTGCATCTTAAGGTAAGGTGCTACTGCTACTTCTGCATGTTTAGATGCTTCCTACCTTCTTGTTCTCCTTGATTTTTAATTTGTTTAGTCTTTCATAATGACTGAACTCCTTTTATTCGTTCATAAAGTTTCCACACTTTCACAATCTTTGTTATTGATAAACATCTTGGAAATTATATTTGAAATTAATAGATGATTTGTTAATAACTTACCATAAGTCCCATAACAAACCCAAGGAATGGATATAAATGTAGCTTTAAAAAATAAAACCCACTAACTGTATTAGAATTTGTCAAAGACACATAAAAGTAACCCCTGTGAAAATGGACTGCTAAACGCACCTTTGAAATGCCCAGTTAGGTAACGGGGCAATTCCCAGTGTAGCCCGTGAGCCTGACATCTTATTGTAAACAATCCTATGTAAACATGTTGTATCTCAAACTTGTATAACCCAGTCTACATAGACCTCTGATCTCAGATAAATGTCATATCCTCTCTGTAATCCCTGATAAGTGGAGAACCAAGTACTTACAGAGCTGTTATCCCAATAGAATTATGTATTGATCCCTTTTTCCCAAAAGGCCCCAACTCCTCATGACTTTTTGCCCAAATTAAATTCCTATGATACCCGTGTAATTTAGTAAATCAAAACCATACTGAAATCTTCAACATTAGAGTGTTTACACATTATTTTTATTATTATTTTTTTTAAATTACTGTATTATCTTTTTAAATACAGTAGTGTTTTATGTGTAGGTGATGCTGATACAATGTTTTGAATATTTTAGTTAACCATTGTTCTTTAGACTGTGATGTTAAGTGTCTCTTAAAATGAAATTATTGTAATGGAATGAAACATTAAACTGAGATATTAATGCATGTTAAATTTAAAGATATTTAAATTTGCATAACAATTAAAGTGAATTTGACGTTAATAAAGACCATGTATCCTAGACTCGAAGATTATCATCATAATAGAATAGCAAAACCTAAATTCAGAATTGTCTAAAATATGTTTCAAGCGTTACTGATGCATTAACTATTGTGGCATGTGTGGAGATGAGGAGTGACTGATGTGTTTGGAGACAATTCTTCACATTAATATCAGAAACCATTCAATTGTTGAAATTGTTGTGGCGGAAAATGTTCCCTTACCCAAAAACGACCTCATGGACTTACCTGCGAGGTACCAAGTGTCTTAGTGCAAGGTCTGCCACTAATATATCTAGTATGCTTGAAATATTATTAGGGGAAATTTGGGCAAGAAGATGAATTATGACAGCTTCTTATTTATTTAATTCATAATTAGTGGTTGGTTCACTAATTATAATGAATATTGTTGCTTATTGCATTCTAATTTTATAATGTGTTTAATCATTTTAATAATGGTTGCTTTGCATATAGTTCTGTGTCTTCAGAATCTGAAGACCTGTTATTTTTAATAAAAGCAATAGCTTGCTGTTCTTTTATATCCTTGATACTATATCTTTACCCCCCCCCCCCCCCCCCCCGGCCGAATTACTGATCCCGTCTAGGATGCAACCTCACAACAAGCTGACTAACTCCTGAGTACCTATGCACTGCTAGGTGGACAGAGGCATTAGGTGAAAGGAAATGTGCCCAACCATTTCTGTCCTGCCCGGAATTCTTGATTGTGCTTCGAGAACGAACCCGATTGTACTACAGGGACCCTCTGATCAGTAAAGTTAAACTAATGTGTCAGTTTGGAGGAAATTTTTGCAGTATATTTTGAAGTTTTGTGACCATTATACATTTGAACAAAACATAATCAAATTTAAGTATTATGAGTATCTCATTTCCTAAGGAAAACAATTATATAGCCCCTTTACATCCAAATGTACTGCATACACAAAATAATGCAGACACTCAATTCAACGGCTTAAAAACTATTTTAGTGCATTATTGCTTACTACATTCCCACTTGTAGATGAATAAGGTACAGCCTATGCGACAATAAATTCCACCGATACCCCATAAAAAGCAGTGTTGGCCATTTACAGTGCTGATCAAAAAATATGTATTCAGAACCATCCTGAAACCATTTAGTTTAGTCTTCCAGCAATAAAATAAAAACTTAACTTTAAATGCTCCTTCAATGAAAAAATATGTACAATATACTTTATTAGATACCACAAATACATCCACTTCTTCAATAAAGAAGCCTTGAGAAATCTTGGTACCGTAACACCATAAATGGTTTTATTTAATATTTCACATACAGAGAGAGTCTGTCACTTACACAGGATATTGGTGGCACCAAGGTGTCGGTCCTTAGCAATTATAAAAGTCTCACATTTCAAGACTGTGTTCAAAGGTTGAGTAGGAGTTAGGTTGTGTGAGGTGACCTTGCTTCTGCTGAGCTGTTAATTGCAGGTGGTTGTTGTTTCTATCGGTCAAGCAGCTGTATAGGTGTGGTAGGCAGAGCTTGGTTCCCGGTTCCTCCTTGTATATCTTTGGAACTGTACATTTGAGGCATTAGGAGAACAGCCATATATATATCAGGCCGGGTGGGGGAGACAGTCTGCCAGCCGTACCACACCCTCCTCTTTTACATAACTGTCTCAGAGACTGGTGAGTGAACTTTTAAGGTTGATGTATTGGTGTTTTCCAACTTGTGTAACTTTCAGGGCCAGTCCGCTGTAGTTGCTCTCAATTTTTTGTGTGGTGTAACCGATTCTGAAATAATGTTGACATTTGAACATCAAGTGAAATGGTTGAATTATGATACTCATAATAGTAAATGTATAATTGATTAACTTACTTTTTAAATTATCTTTAATTCTGATCCCTAGATCAGAACTAGTGATCTAGTTTGGATTTTGGATTTTCTATGATATAATGGAAGCTAGAGTAGTGAGCATTCTGAATTGTACTGGCTGATAGGTATCCTTTGGAGGTGTTTTATCAAGTTTTCTCTCTTGAACACCTTGAGAGGTCGGATACTTGTACTTGTGTGTAGATGGAGTGTTGAAAAATCTTGGGTCTTTACTGTTAATACTCTGTGTACCAATTGCATCTGCTTTTCGACGGTGCTATTTTGTAAATCCATTTTGCTGTTTTGCAAACACTTTGCTAACTGCAAAACATTTGTGGTGAGGCGGTTGCCGCTGCACGGCTGTTCTGTGGGTTGGAGCAGATATGGATGCCCCGGGTCAGTTATTTTGTGTTTTCGTTCTGGGTTGGGTAGGTTGGTGTCTTCTGCCGGCTTCCTGTTTTCTTTGCTGCAGTTTCTACAGTTTTCAGAATTTGGATCTAGTGTTGCTGGGTGGTTCTGGGGGGTGGGGCTGCTCCTTCCACATTTGGTGATGGAGGTAGTTAGCTGATGCTGTGTGAATTCTGTTTCTCAGGGGGGGGGATGTTGTTTGATGCTTGGTTCATTTCCTCAGAGGAGATACTTTTCTGTCTAGAGAATTTCGCACAGATCATGGTCTTTGATCCTTTTTTCTACCCCCTCTACTTCAAGTCCCTCAAGGGGCGCACAAATTCAGTAAGTACAAATAGACAATTAACATTACAAGAATCCCATTTAACATTGCAGGTTAATATAGTAAGCACAGCATCTAATTGTTACACTCTTGGGGCAAAATTCTTGTAGCTCCTAAGTATACTGTCTATCACACCATTATCACACATACAAACAATTTGATGTGGTACATTATTTATTTCCTTATTTCTATAGTTATCAATAAGTTGACACACTAATACATAATGTTCTAAGGTGTGGGCGTGCGGCATACTACATAATTTACACTCCTTATCTTTTTCACTGACATCAACACCGTATTGCCAGATATATTTGTATCCTAATCCTAATCTCATGTAAATTGAATCCTTCCAAGTAGACTTTCCTTTACCATAAGTGAAGGGCGAATTTGCATTTAATTTGCAACCACCAGAAGTTGGCGAGGAGCCCCCACCTCCTTTTATAATTCAACAATTATAGTAACTTTGAAATAATAGCCTATCTATGCAATAAGAAAATGTAAAAATAATCACAATTTTTTAAAGATAATAGTAGAGAAAGTCCAATATAATCATACTTTCTTTGAGATTAATCTATCTCTGGAAATCCCACTGGACTCCTCCACCCTGAGGACACGCTGACGTCACTACTTGACAACCCAGTTAAAGGATGAAACTTTTATAAGGTGTAAAAACTTGTTTTGTCAAATATAAATTAATAGCATTATATACTCGGTTTTATGCATAGTTCTAGACAATATTAGGTAAAGTGTTTTGATGACGTTGGTTTGGTGAGTGTTTACAGTACCAGGCTGGATGTGAATGACTTGTCTCGAGTCATTGCTTCGAACTAAATTAAACTGACAAATGTACAATGGACTATTAACAATTGGGATAGTCTTTATTTTGTCCATACACATCATGAACCCGCCGGCGCTATGTCTTAATGATGAGCTAAATTATTTTAGTTTAGGTTTCGTGGGTGAAGAATTTAGAAAGAGGCGCGGTTTCGAACATCAGTCACTGAAGCATTGTTCGGGAATGAAGGTTCGAACACAACCTTGGAGTGTTGCTGCCGCTGCATTGTGGTGTTAGCGTTTGTTGTGGACGGTGGAGCCCGCGTTTATTGTCGGCAGTAGACATGTGCATCCGTCACCCATCCTTACTCTCCTATCCTCACCTAACCAACCTTAAGCCTGTGTCCATCCTCACCCACCCGCCCACACACGGGTAGGTGGTTAGGTTATTGGTTGAGTACAATTAGGTGAGTACACGTTCTCACCTACGAGTGCCTGCCCTGACCCACCCTCAGCGCCTTCCATCATACGTCAGGTAATTACCTAAGTGTAGTTACAGGATGAGAGCTACGCTCGTGGTGTCCCGTCTACCCAGTACTCTTTGACTACTGACAGTTTTGGCCTCCCTCACCTTCTCACTTAGATTGTTTCAGCCGTCTACCACTCTGTTTGCAAAATTGAACTTTCTAATGTTCTTTCGGCACCTTATCTTAACTCTTGCTCTAGAGGTTCAAAATTTTAAGAATTCTTCTGTATCAATTTTGTTAATTCTCATTACTATTGTGCATGTAGTGATCATATCAGCTACTTTTCTTCTATCGTCTAGCTTTGGCATATTTAACAACTAACCTCGCCTCGTAGCTCTTGTCTTTCAATTCCGGAAGCCATTTTGTTGAATGTCTTTGCACCTTTAACAGTTTATTGATGTGCATCTTGAGATATGGGCACCATACAGCAGCAGTGTATTCCAACTATGGTCTCACAAAGGTCATGAATAATTTCTTTAATATTTCGTCATCCATGTATTTAAAAGTATTCTGAAATTGGAAAGCGTAGCATAGGCTCCTTGCACAATGCTCTTTATATGATCCTCAGGTGACACTTTATCTAGAACCACCCCTAGATCTCTCTTTATCAGAATAATTTAAAGCTTTTTCACATAATTTGTAGATAGGCTATTATTCTATTATTCCATTAGTAGATAGGCTATTATTTGTAGATAGGCTATTATTCTATTATTCCATTAGTAGATAGGCTATTATTTGTAGATAGGCTATTATTCTATTTTCTATTATTCCATAATGTGGCATTTATTCACATTAAATTTCATTTGTCAGGTGTTGCTCCATACAATTTTATCTTCTTAAAGGGCATTACAGTCATCTTATATTCCCAATTGTATCTTAGCATCCTCAGCAAACATGTTCATATAATTCTGTATTCCTTCTGGTAGTTCGTTTATGTAGACAATGAACATTACTGGTGCAATGAACTAATACAAGTATTGCGAAAAAGGTACTAGATTATGGAAAAGTGGCCATCAGTTAGTTTAGTTCATTTATTATGCACCCCATACCCATCCTGTGGGCGGTAGTGGAAAGGGTTACAGAGGCACATAATGGGCTCAGGGACTGAACCCCACAATTCATTTCAGATTCAGATTCAGATGTTTATTCAGGTAAGGTATATACATACAAGTGATGTTACATTAATGGATTGATATATAGATAGAGCTAGTACATACAATGCCTAAAGCCACTATTACGCAATGCGTTTCGGGCAAGAAAAACATTAATATCTAGAACTTAATACTAATTGAGCATAAAGAATAAAAAGTGTTGAGAACAAATACAAATAAAGATAAAAAAAAGGGGGAACATGACTGAAAAAGCAGCACAAATACAATAGGTTGACAAACAGTGTTGATTAAAAAAAAAAGAAAATAACAGACATGGGTTGACAATAGAGGAGTGAGGTAGATTACAGGGAATTTATTAGGTAGTGTTTAGTTTTTATCTTAAACTGGTTGAGAGAGGTACAGTCTTTAACATGGTTGGGAAGGTCATTCCACATTCTGGGCCCCTTGATTTGCAGAGCATTTCTAGTTTGATTAAGACGTACTCTAGGAATATCAAAACTGTATTTATTTCTGGTGTGGTGCTCATGGGTTCTGTTACAACCTTCTATGAAGCTTTTAAGATCAGGATTGGCATTATAGTTTAGCGTTTTATATATGTATAATACACATGAGAGAATGTGCAGAGACTTAATATCTAACATATTCAGAGATTTGAGTAGGGGTACCGAGTGATGTCTGGGGCCAGAGTTGGATATTGTTCTAATAGCAGCTTTGTGTTGGGTAATTAGAGGACGTAAGTGATTTTGGGTAGTAGAACCCCAAGCACAAATACCATAGTTGAGATAAGGATAGATAAGGGAGTAATAGAGAGTCACCAGGGCAGGGCGTGGTACATAATATCTGATCTTAGAAAGAATGCCCACAGTTTTTGAAACTTTTTTTGATATATTTAGAATGTGTCCCTGGAAATTCAGCTTGTGGTCAATGAGAATGCCAAGGAATTTGCCATCTAATTTGTTACAAATTTGGGTATTGTTTATTTTGAGATTTATATGACTAGAGGATTTATTGCCAAACAGAATATAGAAAGTTTTGTCAATGTTAAGGGTGAGTTTGTTGGCAGTTAGCCAAAGATGGACTTTATTTAGCTCAGTATTTACTGTGGCATTTAGAGCAAGAGGGTCAGGACTGGAGTAAATGAAGGTTGTGTCGTCAGCAAATAGAATTGGTTTGAGGTGTTGGGAGGCATTTGGAAGGTCATTAATGTAGATGAGAAAGAGGAGAGGGCCAAGTATGCTGCCCTGAGGAACACCAATGTTGATGGGTAGGGTGGGAGAAATTGTATTATTCACAGAAACATATTGGAGCTAAGTTAGCTAAAAGCTAAAAGCTAAAACATATTTAGCTAAGCAAGTTAGTCTTGATGAGTTAACTAGGCCAGTAAGCCAGTGCTGATTAGCTTGATCATTTGAATTTCGTTTATTTACTTGAATTTACCGGAGGGCGGCTAATACTAGTGGCATTGATGAGGACAGGAAGCCGGCGGCTTGTCAAAGGTCTCAACATTTCCCTGATGATCTTTTCCATAAAGTAGCAGAGTTTATTAAGCTTTTCAAGACATTTTTAAGAGGAGTTATGAAGGAAGTTACGAGAACATTAGTTTATGTATTTATTATCACTAATAACACTACATAATTTACATTGTATCTTTGGAAACACATTGACTAATTAATAACATTCAGTTATTATACATGGAAAAATGGTAACGAGTTTGTGGAGGGGATTATAAAATGGGGTCGCAGCCTACAATTCGAAGGTACAGCGAGGATGTGAGGCTTCTGGCAGGATAGATTCAATATTGATGACGTCTATCCTCCGTTTATATAAATGTTAATAGCGCATATGTTGTCCGCAATAAGGTTAGATATCAACCCCTGGGCCAAGATTGCACAAACTGTTTTTAAATATGATTTTGGCAGGTAAATGCAAACGGTTAGATTATTCAGGGTTTCTAATATGAGCCTATCCTGTATAGCCTTTGTTACATAGCTAAGGTAGTTATGCAGGTTACCTGTGTAGGTATCTGCGCTGCTTGATCACATTTAAAACATCTTTCAGCGGCAAATCGAACATACCTGACATGCTGTAACTTTTCTGTAATACAAAAATCGGTGCAATTTACTGTGGGCGTAAAGAATTGGGAAGAAATTCCACCATAGGGTGACAGTACGACGTTCATGCAACAATGAATCAACGTTGATTCTGATAATCGTTCGTTGATTAAGTTACTTGGGCATGATTTGTACCCTAGGGCTGTTGCCTTTGGTTGCGTTTTCCTGCGCGGAATCAGGAACGTGACACTTATCTGTTATAAACTTACAATAATGGTAGTAAACATCCCAATAAAACTTAAGTGTACCAAGGTGCTATGTGCTCTAGTGTCGTGTGCTCTTGTTCGGTGTGCTGTAGGCTGTGGTAGACGAGGCTGCAACCCGTCCGGTCAAAAAAACTTGGTTTGAGTAACACTGAACAAACGTTGATAACCTTGATCTAGCGTTGGTTCATTGTTACTGGAATAAAGTTTTCCTGCTGGCATTGTGATGGCTCACGGCAGGTACTCCATAACGATGTTCATGAGCTGGGAGCCGTTGTAAGGACAGGCCGGGAAGGCTTGGCCACAGTCTCCTCCCGATTCTCCATACGTCTTGGCCGCTTTATACTCTCCTGTCGCTCCCGGAGGTAAAAATCCTTCACCTGGTTTTATCGTTGGCCTGAAAACATACCGAAATTGCAATGAATACCAGGGTTTTGTGTGGGGGCTCTGATAGCTTGGATACTGATTCCAGTCATGTATTATTAATGGGTCAGTTTAGCATTAGCTGTTCAGTTTGACAGTTTAATAACAAATGTGTGGTGATGAAGTGGCTATATAATAGAATAACATTTGGGAAGTAAATTTTTGACGCTAAAAACTCTGAAACTGGATGTGCTTAATTTTTTATCACTGGTTTGTTGATGTAATGGAGAATGGGTAGTATAAATGGGAGAATTATCTACATGAAACGTGTAATTTATATACATAGCAGTGTAAGTGATGTATCTGACAACGTGTCCTGATGCGCGTGTGAGTGAGCTACCCGTCACCTTGGCTGAATAAACCAACAAGCGTTGGAAAGTAGAGAGGGACCTACCCGAAGAGCTGCAGAATGGCCATCTCCTCGACTGAGAGTTTGTCTTGGGTCGCGAGCTCACACACCAGCCTCTTGCCACAGCCGGTCAAGTCACTCTTACGGATACTGTTGAGTGCTTCCTCCAGCTCCTCTGCCGAGTCCCTCTTCACCTGGCGGCCAAACCTTCTACCGCGCCCCCTGCGGGTCCTCCGGCTGCCATAACCATATCGCTGGCCACTTCTACTTCTGCTGCGCCGTCGTAGCGCCGCGGCTCCCAGAACTCCTATGCCAACAGCGCCTGCGGCAGCCACAGCAACGGCGGCAGCGGCGGCCGCACTTCCCGCACCTATGGTGAGCCCGATGGTACCCGCAGTGGCCATGGTAGCTGTGGGAGAGTTGTGTTATAATAATAATAATTTATTTAAGAACAGTACATACATAGTTGTAGCGTTACAGTACAAACATTGTTAGATTAAAGATAGAGGTAGTACATACAATACCTAAAGCCACTAGTACGCATAGCGTTTCGGGCAACCTCCGCTCTTCGAAATAGGCTCGTGCTTGACACAGGTTAAATTATTTATCTAGACCTATCACACTTCACTTATATCTGAGGGTATTAGCATAGAACCCCTGTGATGTATAATAAAAGCATAGAGCCGGAATTTTTTGATGAATAACGAATATATTTGAAATTGGGATGAAGTTAAAATGCCTAAAATCAGTCTTGGATCTTGCGTTTGGTCAAGCAAAAAAGACGTTCTACAAACAAGCTCCCAAGTCTAAACCAGAACTGAAAAACTCGTTCGTATTAGCATATTTTGATGGTCTAGTACATCTTGCCCCAGCCCTGAAAAAACTTAAAAAAAATCGTTCAAAAATTATAATACAGTTAAGTCCTTGTTAATTAAGAACTCGCCCTCGTCTGTAGCAGGTTGTGTGTACTCCATCCCTTGTAATGAGTGTGCAAGGGTTTACATCGGCCAGACTGGTAAATATCTTTCCTTGCGTTTAAAACAACATTCATATGCTATTCGTACAGCCCAGCACTCCAGTGCATTGTATTTACATTCCAGTTTATGCGAGCATTTTATCGACTTCAGAGGGGCAAACTGTATTGTTAAAAGTAAGGATTTCGTTGAACGAAATGTGATAGTCTGCTCTGATCAAACATTGTACCAACAGCCTTAATGTGAGCCCTGGTATGTACAAGTTGGATCCCCATATAAGCTTCAATATAGCACATCAATACAATATAGCATCCATTTAACCTGTTTGGCATTTTTATATATCTTCCAGTTATGGATATTAATAGGCGCTCGTTTGGGGCAATTTCTTATGTTTCCGTTCCTTCGCCTTTTCTTGGTGGTCAGGTGATTTGCCCTGGCGGGTTTATAAGGTCTGACCAACAAGGTTTCCATTTACGGGCTATTCATGCCCGTGCCACCTCTTGGGTGGCTTAATCTTTATCAATCAATCAGGTTTCCATCTTCATTCTACTTTGTTCTGATTAGGGCGATTTAAGCCGAAAACGCGTTTAGCATTCTTTATTTTTTACTTGTTGTTTGTCCGAATACTTGGATCAGTGTTTTTGTGATCATCTCAGTTTGCTACGTATGATACAAATCATACGTAGCAAACTGAGATGGGATGAATATATTCTACCTACACCATCTGCGATGACCAAGTAATCACCAGGTTCGTAACATTATGGTAGTTAAGGAAAGTTATTATAGTGATTATAACCGTTACCATGGTTAATATCACGACAATGATCCCACCAGCAGGTATCAATAGTTCTCTAGACATAGTTACCACTTGCAGAAGCTGTGGCCGAAACTTTCGATGACGGCGCCATTTGAATTGCTCCTATTGGAGTGCACAATCATCATCATCACCTACACCAGATGTGGCCAACACGAAGCCTCGTATCTACACATAGCCAACGCGAAGCCTCGTATCTACACATAGCCAACGCGAAGCCTCGTATCTACACAGCCAACGCGAAGCCTCGTATCTACACATAGCCAACGCGAAGCCTCGTATCTACACACAGCCAACGCGAAACCTCGTATCTACACATAGCCAACGCGAAGTCTCGTATCTACACATAGCCAACACGAAGCCTCGTATCTACACATAGCCAACACGAAGCCTCGTATCTACACATAGCCAACACGAAGCCTCGTATCTACTCATTTGTAAAGACTTGTTTCGTTGCAAATACATAGTGGCCAGGGGTACACTATAGTCTGTGACGTTACACCCAAGTGGTACGGTCACACTGGCCGGGGTACACTGGGTTCTGTGACTTGTTCAATAATTGCATGATTGTTAATATCAGGACAACCAGAAATATTCGGTTACTTAAGACATTTTCAAGGAGACACAGAAAACACCCACTAACCAACCCTAAGTATAGCAAGTGGTAGTAAGTTATTGAGCTAAGTAATTATCAAAAGTAGGCGTCAAGATTGGGAAACTATTAATTAAGTGAAAAGCGGCCGGGTCTGACTAGGCTACGTATGTGCCACAGGGACCTATGGCTTGGTGTCGGAACTTCGTCGTTTCGTTTCCACTCGATCATATTTTAGTAATTAATTTTGTTGGGGCTAGGCAGTCTGTGTATGTATAACATACACAGACTTATATCGACATCCCTCTGACCCATCCCATAATGCAACCCCACAACAGTTGAGGACAATGTCCAAATTTTCAGCATGATGGGAAATTTTTGTTTTCCTGTTTGTGTCTTTAAATCTTTGTAGCATTTGATTCCTTTGTGACATCACTCCTCTTTTTGTTTCTTCTAGTGAATGACCTTTAGGGACTCATTAATATTATTTAACAGTGCCATATAGCCATATTTGGAATTTTCTTTTTATAGCTACAAAGGCTTACTTAGCAATATCGAAGACTAGGAACGTTTAATAACCAAATATTAAGTGAAAGACGGTCTTTCTGGCATTCATGGCAGGACTCCCCGCTACGTTTAAAACATACCAGTTATCCTAGTCAAGGTGCTCCCATAAACTAAAACAGTACACAGAATTCTGAAATTCAAAGTCCACATTCTGAATTCTAATATTCAAAATTCAGAGATTCTGATTTTAGATGTTCTGAGTTCATTGTGATTTTAGATACTGAGATACTTCACTAACTCCCTGTAACCTACCTTACCCCTAAAATGTCAACCCATGTCTGCTATTTTTAAACAATGCTATTTGTTGATCAAGTTGTATTTTTGCTATTTTTCTGCCATGTTCCCCCCCTTTTTTATATTTTCTCAACACATTTTATACTTTAATCTCAATTAGTATTAAGTTTTAGTCTTTAGTGTTTTTCCTGCCCGAAACGCTTTGCGTAATAGTGGCTTTAGGTATTGTATGTATTAGCTCTATCTATAAATCCATCAATGTTTGTATCACACCTGGTATGTATGTACTTTACCTGAATAAACATTTGAATTTGAAATTTTTAGATGTTCCGAGTTCAATGTGATTTTAGATATTCTGAATCTTAGACCTTTCATGTATTATCCAACTACTTACCAAAGACGAGCTTAGTATCGCACTGTTGAGCGATGCACTTGGAGCTACAGTTAGCTTCTGTACTGACGATTGACGCACTCTGACGTATATATATATACTGCATTGGTTACGCCATGTACAGAAACTGACCTTCGGCAACAAAACGAAAGTCAGTGTTGCTTCAGTCATGAACATCGTGTACGGCATTATCGCCTACATTGGTGTGACCATATTACTTGAGTTGCGTCAGTGTCGCTGGTGGACGGCAGAGTTCGGACCTCCATATTTGTGTCCAAAATGAACGCATTCATATGAACATATAAATACGCAATATGGCAAAGTTTTAATCAGACCCTCTGTCATGTTTTTTGTATATATAATTATTGTCTTCGGCGTGAGGGTGCTGGTTTGATAAGTGCAGTTGACGCTAGGTCTTTCATGCAGGCTCGGTACAGTGATTTCAGTGTAATTATGGAAACCCTGAGAACATTAATGTATCAAAGTAATCGAATAACAGTCGGGACTCGATCAAAGAGAGCTGCAGCTCATTCTTTGTAAACATAAAGGCGAGCACGCGCGCATGGAAACAATTCCATGCATTCAGGGTACTGTATAGTACGTAAGTGAATTCCTTGTAGTGAAGGTGGGCCCCGGTGTGTGGAAACCAGGCTAGCAGAGAACATGGGGCATGATCCCTTGTCTAGCAGAGAACATGGGGCATGGTCCCTTGTCTAGCAGAGAACATGGGGCATGGTCCCTTGTCTAGCAGAGAACATGGGGCATGGTCCCTTGTCTAGCAGAGAACATGGGGTATGGTCCCTTGTCTAGCAGAGAACATGGGGCATGGTCCCTTGTCTAGCAGAGAACATGGGGTATGGTCCCTTGTCTAGCAGAGAACATGGGGCATGGTCCCTTGTCTAGCAGACCACAAGGCCTTGGTCTTCCGTCCAAGAGACGAATACAATAAATAAATACAATCTGCAGTACTTGCGAGAACTCTGCCCGTCCTCCTAGGTGTCTCAACGTCAAGAAACTGTCGTACTAAAGTGCCCTTATCCTGATCTACCAGAGGATCCAAAACAGAAAACAGGACAGTATGTTAATTTCACGAGCCGCAACCATTTTTGGCCTTAGGTAGAGTATACGTCAAAATGCGACGTTCTATTGGGACGCGTTGGGGAATTAGGACCGATCCTCATGGAAACATGTAAACATTTTCTACGTGTTCACTTCTTCCCACTGGCTGGTATCTTGGTATCTTTGGCGTTCTCCGGTAGAGTTGTGTTCCTCCAGTTTAGCCTAGTACACTCCCAGACAAGTTTCAGTTTACTTTTTATTAGGCTTTATTTTCGGCATTTTAGTTTAGACTTTAGTCTCGGGTGTTGGATAGTGTCAAAGACAGTTGTTTAAGTTCTGGCAATTCTTTGACAGTTGTTTAAGTTCTGGCAATTCTTTGACAGTTGTTTAAGTTCTGGCAATTCTTTGACAGTTGTTTAAGTTCTGGCAATTCTTTGACAGTTGTTTAAGTTCTGGCAATTCTTTGACAGTTGTTTAAGTTCTGGCAATTCTTTGACAGTTGTTTAAGTTCTGGCAATTCTTTGACAGTTGTTTAAGTTCTGGCAATTCTTTGACAGTTGTTTAAGTTCTGGCAATTCTTTGACAGTTGTTTAAGTTCTGGCAATTCTTTGACAGTTGTTTAAGTTCTGGCAATTCTTTGACAGTTGTTTAAGTTCTGGCAATTCTTTGACAGTTGTTTAAGTTCTGGCAATGTAAGAAAAGGCAGTCTACTCAGCTCGCTTCCCAAAGTCACGCTGTCATATACAGTAATTATAATACAAGTTGACAATGTGTATAAACAAACAATTTTGCATTTGTTAGATATTTTGTTAATCCCAGATGGTGTTTTAGTTTCAAAATGCACAGTTTGTCATGGCTTTATTGATTTTTCATGTTCTTGCATGGTACTCTTGCCAGTGACATCAGTCTCTGATGTTTCCTGATTGTCCCTATTCTTGATGGAATGAAATTTGTCTTCTAACTGGTAGATAAGGTAAGGTAAGGTAATTACCAGGAGAAAATAAGAAGCCAATACGATTCTACGGCACTTGGAAGGGATGAGGATAAAAGGATTTGGTATAGGACGGACGAAATAGTGGCCAACCACTTGGACAGTCGCGGAATTGACCTTGGACCTGCAGGTGGTTCGCCTATGATCCTTTCTCATATATGGTCTTGTAATAAATCAACATCAGTGGTTTGCACGGTATCTCACCTGCATAGTTCTTGTATTGTGTGTGTACTCACCTAGTTGTACTCTCCTACATGTGCTTGCGGGTTCTGAGCTCTGGCTCTTTGGTCCCGCCTCTCAACTGTCAATCAACTGGTGTACATATTCCTGAGCCTACTGGGCTCTATCATATCTAGATTTGAAATGGTGAATGGAGTCAGCCTCCACCACATCACTGCCTAATGCATTCCATCTGTTAACTACTCTGACACTGAAAAAGTTCTTTCTAACGTCCCTGTTGCTCATTTGGGTACTCAGTCTCCACCTGTGTCCCTTTGCGTACCACCCGTGTTAAACAGTTTATCTATCCTGTCAATTCCTCTGAGAATTTTGTAGGTTGTGATCATGTCTCCCCTTACTCTTATGTCTTCCAGTGTCGTGATTGTCAATCAATTAATTAATCTTTCAGTCAATCAATCTTTCAATCAATCAATCTTCGGCTATCCAGAGAATCTATCGAAACTGAAGCTTCTACAGGAGAGAACATCACAAACATCTATCTGTGCCCTGTAGTTGCAACCGTTGCGACAGGCTCGAACGCAGGTCTGTCCGGATTAAGAACATGTTCTATCCGACTAGGCCACGCTGGAGTTGCGTGCATTTCCCGCAGCCTTTCCTCGTAACTTATGCCTCTTAGTTCTGGGACTAGTCTAGTGGCATACCTCTGAACTTTTTCCAGCTTCGTCTTGTGCTTGATAAGGTACGGGCTCCATGCTGGAGCCGCATACTCCAGGATTGGTCTTACATATGCGGTATACAAGGTTCTGACTGATTCCTTGCACAGGTTCCTGAAGGTTTTGATGTTATCCAGCCTTGCATACGCCGCAGATGTTATTCGCTTTATGTGGTCTTCAGGAGATAAGTTTGATGTGATATCAACTGATAGATCTTTCTGTTTCATGAAAGGCTTTATCTCCCATTCGGTATCTTGTGTCTGGCCTCGTTTCCACTGCCTAGTTTCATTACCTTACATTTACCGGGGTTGAACTTTAGTAGCCATTTGTTGGACCATTCATTCAGTTTGTCTAGGTCATCTTGTAGCCTCATACTATCTTCCGTCTTAATCCTGCTCATAACTTTTGCATCATCAGCAAACAATGAGAGGAACGATTCTACTCCCTTTGGGAGATCATTTACATACATCAGAAACAGTATAGGTCCAAGGACTGAAGCCTGCGGGACTCCACTGGTGACACCGCGAATCTGAAACCTCGCACCTCACAGTGACTCGCTGTCTTCTGTTACTTCGGTACTCCCTTATCCAATGGAGTACCTTCCCTTTCACTCCTGCCTGCATCTCCAGCTTTTGCACTAGCCTCTTGCATTAGTCTGTGTGTGTGTGTGTGTGTGTGTGTGTGTGTGTGTGTGTGTGTGTGTGTGTGTGTGTGTGTGTGTGTGTGTACTCGTCTAGTTGTGCTTGCGGAGTGATTTCTAAATTGTGTGTGAGCGTTCATGTATGCGTGTGATCAATTCTATCTTGCCATCGGTAGTTTTGATGGCCAATGTCGCAATTACCACACTCATTTACCACCATCATCGTCCCCCCCTTCCTCCATCAATCACCACCACCGACGTTCACAATCAGTCCTCGATAGCCTCCAAATAGACCCGGTTCCCGCTACACCATCTTCATCATCACTGTTGCTGTCATGACACCATCAACAACATTTCCCGTCCAGTTCTCAATAGGCTGTAATTGATATTAATATTTCTGTATCTATGTAATTCTGTTTCACCATTCTCACGCTCACTCGGGTTTAGATTTGTCGGTCATTATGGAGCGTGACCAGCGTGTGTCTGCGGTCCTAGGCGTGACAACACGGTACGGTACAATAACAGTCATATTTCTGCCGCCATTGTCACAAGCTGTCTAGAAATGCAACCGCATCATAAATTCTAGCCCCAGAAGCCTCATTTACGTTGTCTTTAATGGCCATTTCCTTTATGGTGGCTACGAACGACACGTTTCACTACCGATGACAGACTTGTTTGTTAAAACTTAGTATGGTCATTTAAAATTACCTTGTGTGTATTAAGTCTAATGGTGAAGCGGGATTCGAAACGGGGTTCAGATGTTCGAGACCTATTCATTCGCGTTGTTTACCGCCGAGAGTAGATTTCAATTGTAAGATATTTCAGCGCCTTTGCCTCTGTTCTTCCACACTAGCAAGAGTCTCGCAATCTCCCCGGAGTCTTGCTGTCATCATCACTTTCCAGTGGCCAAAATATTTGATCCAGTTCGTATTAGAAGTTTCTCATTCTGCGCTGAGTGTCTCATTTCACTTTCAACGTGCCTAATAAATTCATTGAACGTTCCAGTCATGCTCATTAAATATGTCTAACACATTTATTGGGGCAATAAATTTGTTGTGCTTCCGGGGATTGAGCTTCGGCTCTTTGGTCCCGCCTCTCAACCGTCAGAGGTGTGTGTGTGTAATTAAGTGTAGTTACAGGATGAGAACTACGCTCGTGTTGTCCTGTCTTCGCAGTACTTTGTCGTATAACACTTTGAAACTACTGATGGTTTGGCCTCCGTCACCTCCATGTGTGTGTGCGCGCCCAACGAGGCTTATTAAGCAAGGTTCGTCGCACCTGATTAGTTAAGGAGTTTTTATGTTGATTTCTTCACTGTATCTTCATAGCCTATTGAGATCATGACACATTTGAATGATTACTTGAGCTGTTATCTAACATCGGTCGACTTTTACCTAAGTTAGGCAGGTCTAACAGTTAGAGAACACAATAGAGCCAACAGAAAGGAAAATGATGGGATGAATAATGAGAACATTGAGAAGAAGGGACGCCACACCAACGATGACACGCTTCAAAGACCTGGAATACTGTTCAGTCTT